TGTTTGGGTGCGGTAGCTCGTCAGAGGCCGAAAGAGAAAGAAGGTTGACTCAAGACCTTGTTGCTTAGAGAGTAAGAGACATGCGGTAGGCCACACCATCGCCATGCAGCATGTCTGTCAATACATCCCATCCGCGTACCCCCCGCAGGCCCCGTAGACAGTATACTCTGCCGAGCACCCCAAACAGCCTGTATCGACAAAACAATATGATACGCCAAAAAATCGCCACGGTAGCGTGGGAGCGACAGCAAAGGTCACGAAACGCCTTCAGCCCGCAAGCTCTAAGAAGTAGAGACAAAAATATACGAAAAAGTACCAACGCATCACAACGTACCAAAAAGGCTGGAAACCAAACGTTTCGGAAGCGAAACCAAGAAGAAGAGGGGTCGTGACACTAAACAACAGCTGGCAAAACCTCGGCAGGGAACAGAGAAAGCTCGACCTGGCGGACTATTGAAGCCAAAAGAAAGAAAACGAGAAAACGAAACCAAAAATGCTGCAACAGAAGGCAAAAACAACCAAGCATGCCATGTGGGCGCGCGACGTCATCAGACAACGCATCGGTCACAACGTCGCCACGCGACATGTCGATGTTGCGAAGAACACCCTTGAGTAGGGCGCTGCCGCTGTGTACTTGGAGGCACCAGGATCCGGAGACGGCGATTTCGACGGCAGCGGGAAGGGCGAGCTTGCCAAGAAGCGGACGCCGTAGAAGTCGGACGGCAGAGCTCTGAGGTGGTCCAGAAATCTTGCCCTACCACCAGAGTCCATCTTGTGTCTTGTACCAGAAGAAGGCGCCCACCGGTAGAGGAGTGTTGGCGAAGCGACGGTCCCATGTTGAACGGGAAACAAGCGAGTAGCCCGATGGCAATGCTCGCGCACCTTGAGCACGCGCCAATTCCCTGGTAGCAGCTCCAATGCGCATCGCACGATAACGGCGATTTGTTTGGCGATGTTGGTCAGGCGAACCTGCCCAGTACCGGAGAATGTGCGGCTTGGAATGCTGCAGGTCCATCTCACGTTCCCAAAAAGGGCGCAGAAGGCCCTGTCAATGTGGCTGATATAATCCAGCTATCGTGCCCCCACGGCCACGGACGGACTGGTGGCCACTAATGCGTTCAATGTGGATAAGAGGGTTTCGTCCTCGACAGACGTTGGGGAGTTTCAACCTTTATGAAGGTGTTCTCCACATTACCCCCCCCTTTTTCGAGGCTTCTTCTTGTTTGCTAGGCAAGAGAAGTCTTCTTGGGGTAACCGGAACCCGACCGGCTGGCGGCGAGTGGAACCATCTTTTTTCCAAGAATCTTCTGTGCGTGTGTGCGGGTACACCACTTCCGCCACGCATTGCCAGAAGTTTCGACTTCGATAGACAGCGCATCGTTTCTTGGCCCACCCACCGTTTTTCTTTTTCCGTACTCCGGAAGAAAATTAGGTGAGCAGCGGGTGTTGAACCCGTGTCTTTTGCAACCAAAGCAGACACCTTACATCTCTTGTCGACGCCATTGTGGAAAAGAGGATTTCGTCCTCGACGCCAGCCGGTCGGGTTCCGGTTACCCCAAGAAGACTTCTCTTGCCTAGCAAACAAGAAGAAGCCTCGAAAAAGGGGGGGGTAATGTGGAGAACACCTTCATAAAGGTTGAAACTCCCCAACGTCTGTCGAGGACGAAACCCTCTTTTCCACTATGGCGTCGACAAGAGATGTCAGGTGTCTGCTTTTGGTTACAAAAGACACGGGTTCAACACCCGCTGCTCACCTAATTTTCTTCCGGAGTACGGAAAAAGAAAAACGGTGGGTTGTTGGAAAAAGGTGGTTCTACTCGCCGCCAGCCGGTCGGGTTCCGGTTACCCCAAGAAGACTTCTCTTGCGTAGCAAACAAGAAGAAGCCTCGAAAAATTGTGGAAAAGAGGGTTTCGTCCTCGACAGACGTTTGGGGAGGTTCAACCTTTATGAAGGTGTTCTCCACATTACCCCCCCCTTTTTCGAGGCTTCTTCTTGTTTGCTAGGCAAGAGAAGTCTTCTTGGGGTAACCGGAACCCGACCGGCTGGCGGCGAGTAGAACCACCTTTTTCCAACAACCCACCGTTTTTCTTTTTCCGTACTCCGGAAGAAAATTAGGTGAGCAGCGGGTGTTGAACCCGTGTCTTTTGTAACCAAAAGCAGACACCTGACATCTCTTGTCGACGCCATAGTGGAAAAGAGGGTTTCGTCCTCGACAGACGTTGGGGAGTTTCAACCTTTATGAAGGTGTTCTCCACATCAACCGGAGTTGACACGTCGTCTTCCGTACCATGGTAGGGAGGAGATTTGTTCGCATAAGAGTTCACGACATACGGAGTAAGACCAGTAGGCAGAAAGCGCGGCAGGTCATCGGTGTCATACGGATTGGCGCACAGCTTGCAACGCACAACCGAAACACGAGGTTTCGAGTCTTCGCCCGGCAAGTAAAGCAACTTGGGAGCCAAAGGACGACCGTCAGGGCTGTCAGAACATGAGCCCAGAGCCAAGATTTTGAAGGGGCCAGTCCAGAGTAGAGATAACTTGGCTTTGAGAACCTTATCATCTGTGCCTGAACGAACGCCTTGTCGAATAGTAGATTCGGAGTTATGCACCCAAACCCATCCACCAACAGTGTAAGAAGGAAGCTTATGGAAAGCGTCCGATAGGTAGGTAGGGTGGAATTACGCCGCTCAATCTGCGAAACGGACAGGCTATGCTGTTCACGCACCAAGTCGTAAGAACGACGTTGGCGATCAGCAGCAAGATCGCAATATTCGAGTTGATCACGATGCAAGCTTTGGTGGCCACGAACGTAAGGATGCTCAAGAATAGTCATCGGTAAACGAGGCAATCGATTCATATGCACCTCATTGATTGGGCGCTAAACCGGTAGCGGCGCTAATGGAATTGTTGGAGGCAAACGCGACGTGTGGGAGATGAATGTCCCAATCATCATGTCGTTCGTTGACGACCATAGCCAACATCTGAGCCATAGTGTGGTTGACACGCTCCACACACCCATTTCCATTGGGATGGTACGAGCTAGTAGCCACTTTGCGGATAGCAAGACGGGCATACACGGCTTGGGACAGTTTAGAGCAAAACTGAAAGCCGGTGTCAGACAAAAGACTCAACGGGCAACCCCAGAAAGGGATATACCTGTTGACAAGGATGTCAGCTGTGCCTTCGGCGGTGAATTCTGCAGCCGTAACCGCGTATATATCAGCACGGCGGCTGAAATGGTCTGTAAAGAGCAGAATGTATGTGTTGCCACGCGGTGTCAACGGAAGTGGACCAAAATAGTCAACACTCACACACCGGGGCCCGAAGGCAAAGGAAGGGACATGGTAGGCCACCGAGGAGTCTGACGAGACGATTTACGGGCTTGGCATCGCAAACAACGCCGCACCCACCATTTCGTACAAACACTCATGCCAATCCACCAACAGAAACGTTCCACGCATGCTAAGCGTGCGAGCCGCACCGAGGTGACAGGACGCACCAGCGTGGCAGACTTGCATGATCCACGGACGCATGAGCATAGGAATATAATTCCGAATGGGTTCATCGTTAAGAAGGCGAGCAGCACGTCCGCCAGAACGTGCGGTGGTGGACGACGGGGTCGTTGTTTGCTTGCGAACAAGCAAGACCAAACCATCATCGTCAACTTGCAACCGGCCTTTGTTAGACAGGTCACGAATCTCCGAAAGAGAGGGTCGACGAGCGGACGGAACACGGCCCAAGAATCCGAAGGGAGGGCCGAAGGCCGACCCAGAAGAATGAAGCGAGTGGCTGCATCACACACAGGTTCGTTACGTTGCTCGCGAGCCCAATCAGCATGCGAGAAACGCTCGACGGACGCCCGGAAGGCTAAATCCGCCGAAGAATGTAAAGCCGCCTCGATAGAAGAGGGGGCTGATTCGCGAGGCGCCGACTGCAACCCATCCGAGGATAGAGGAGCAATGGAGGCCGAAGGCGAATGCGCGCGAGTGGTTGACACCAAACGTGACAAAGACTCCGAAGAGCCAGGGGCTGCAGAAGGCTGCAAAGCAGGGACAAACCGCAGTTGTGGTAGGCGTCGGAGACGCAGGCTCCACTCCATGAGCCAGAGGCGCGGAGGGAGTCGAGGATAAACCACCAGCACCAGTAGTCGAAACCCAACTCGGCAAGGCTGGTGTCATCGACGGCGCCTTCGTCGCCGTCGGAGACCGCCGAAACGGTCGAGAGGGAGCGGAAATCCGCGTGGGAGACAAAGAGGGCCCATCGTCAGAAAAACCATAATCAACAGGCGGGAGTGGCGTGCCTGCCACAGCTGCCTTGCGACGTCGAGTCCTGGTGGAGATCACTTGGGTGGGGTCCAGGATCCGACGTGGGTTTCCAAGGGCGGGAACGGCAGACGGAGGCTCGGGTTCGAGAGCCAAAACATCATCGAAAGACTGAGGTAGGGAACCGGACCAAACGATGGGAGGTCGATTGCGCAATCGCGACCGTGCCGAACGGCGGAACATCTCGGACGCCAAGAGAGCGATCTTGGGCGACAAGGAAGCGACGTTGAAACGACCGATGAAGGCGAGAGGCCTGATGGCGGTACACGCGGACCGTGCCGACGGAGGTCAGCGAAGTNCCAAGAGAGCGATCTTGGGCGACAAGGAAGCGACGTTGAAACGACCGATGAAGGCGAGAGGCCTGATGGCGGTACACGCGGACCGTGCCGACGGAGGTCAGCGAAGTCAGCCGTACAGCGGGCAAGCCCACCCAAGACCGAAGTCGGGGAATTAGGAACTAGCCCACCCA